TTTCGAGAAATTCAAAGGACTGCAGCATCCCAGGAAAGAATTCAAATTCTTGGCAGTTTTTATCTCAGATTGGTATTCGAGGCGGAACAGGACAGTTTTCCGCCCCGTTTTATCTCGTATCAATAATTCGATATGAAGGTTGCCGATTCGGTTCCGTATCGTCCTGAAATTATTGCGGAACGCAGATTCTGAAGCATTAATCACTGTTGTCTTCCAGCAACTGAACTGATTAAACTGAAACAACAGCTTAACATGATTACAGTGATTTGTTTCAAGAGTGAGCATTCTTTCGGCATAATTTAGAGGTTATAACATTCGAAAAGTGGAAGGTGGATGGTGTACAGTCAAACTTGACCACATCGACCCATCGCTGAAACAGTTCACGATTAATTCCGTGAGATTTCGCAAGTTGATATTTGACCAGTGAACATTCTGCAAAAAAGAAATCGTCTACAAAGCATGAATTCGAAAAACACATGACGAGCGTTAAGTGACAGAAATTATTACTGAAGCGATAAGTGAGTGATTGTGAAGCACCAGTTCATCTCAGAGTTTCTAACGCTGAATTTCTAACACCGAAGAAGTTTACCTCAATCTTCCTTATAAGCGATAGCGTTTCTCTATGCGATTTTATCTCCGCATAATTTCGCGATGAGTCGATCTCAATCGATCATAATATGTGTATAAATATTGCTCTCGGCGCAAATAAATCTTATCATTTACAATAAATCGTAAAAGTTGAACTGCAGCATTGTGAGAACAAAATTTGGTTGCAATGGCAGACAGTACAGGTGGTAAGGTTCCACTTCTGAATCCAATACTCGCTAAAGAGAGTGAAGATCATCTCTATCATTTCGGCATCACAAGAAGTGGCATGGATTTACCGAAACTTTTCGGTGATATTAAGGTTCGTTCTCTGAAATTCCATTCGGTTCTCTGTTGTTAACGACAACAAATGAGTACCGAATAATATCGTTGAAATCTATTAATAACTGAAATCGTTATTTACTGAATTCAATTTTAGTTTGTTTGCTGTGGTGGAAGCGCTACACGATTAGCTCAATACGCTCAGCAGTTCTCCAAAGAGATTGGAATTGAGGATGCGAAGAATTTGAGTAAATCAGATCGATATGTCATGTATAAAACCGGACCTGTATTGTGGATTAATGTGAGTGCATTCGTGCTATTCAACAATCCTTCAGAAGGACAATATCATTTTCAAGAGAAGCCAAAAAAAGGCGTACGGTAAAACAACGCATCCATAGTCCTTGGTAAAGGCCATTGGCCCAATCGTGGCCTATTGCTTATTTCAGCCACTTGATCAAATATTCGATCTGCTGCACGGAATTGATCTGCTGAAGTGTTCAGCCATGTATATGTTGATTAGGCCAAATGCCTGAGTACCTTTCAGGTGTTACATGCAGATTAATGACATAGCGGTAACAATAGACCGAATGAAAACCGATAATGAAGATAGCAATGAAAATAGCAACGATCCAGATATTCCCGATATATACTGACCAAACTGAAGAATCAATGTCAGATGATTTAGCATGGTATGGGTGTACCGTCGTTGAGTATAATGATGATTGAAACGATCAAATTGCTGCATTATGCGAACGCAAGTGACGTAACCTTCATTCGATTGGGCACATCCGGTGGAGTTGGTGTCCAGCCAGGTACCGTCATCGTTTCGAATGGTGCTGTGAATGGTGAGATCGAGCAATCCCATATTCAATATATCATGGGTAAAAAGGTTAGTGTGTTCGAGACTACGCCTGCTCTAAGCTGAATAGTCACATACTGGCTGTAAACATAGGCGAGAAGTGCGGAAGACAATCAGATCATCGTAACCGTTCCTCATCTCGTCTCGCATTTTCTTGCCTCGATCATTTCTCGCGATCACTTAATCATCCTGACCGTTTTTTTTCGCCTCTAGTATGTCTCCTTTGATTATTATAACCTGCTGTCATTCAGAAATCGCGTAAACGTTTCTCTTCTCGACTTTTTTGGCGAGCAATCAACGAGAAATGAGAAAAAACTATCGGTAATCAAACTATATCAGTAAATTAGTCGAAATAAAATTGGTTGAAACTCAGTTTTTTGCATTACCCATGAATCATAGAAGGTGAAGTTTAGTACCAGAAGGATCGAATATGGCATAAAGAGTTAGATGGGAAAATTTATTTGTAGATCGACAGAAGATGAAAATTTATTTACAGATCAGCAGGAGGATGGATAACTTTGCATTATTTGCATTTGAGGGCAGATTCGAAAAACCTGCAGTATACCTCGGAAATTGATTTCGGGGACACCGATATAAGTAGAGGAATTACGGATCTCAACCGAAGTCCTTATAAACCACTTCTAAACATTCTCAGTTGCTTTGATGTAGTATATCTAAGCAGCTGAGCACTACTTTGTTGATTGTATATGAATAGTTGGGAAGGAGTACGAAATTCTTTTGGCTTTGTAAAACTCTGGTTGTTCATGATAAGATAATCCGAGTTCAGTGTGGAACATTGCGGCTCGGTGTGGAATGATCGCGTAATGAATCGGTTGAATCGTCTAAACGTAGTTTTCGGATGTTGTACACGACTTTGGTTATTTTCGCTTTTTACTACGATATACTTAAACTGAAATAATATGCAAAATGTTTCTGAAACATTTTCCCTGGCGATTGAAGCCACTGTACTCAGCTGCTTAGATAAACTACATCCAAGCAACTGAGAATGTTTAAAAGTGGTCTATAAGGTATATCTAGTTTTATACCTTCAACTGTTATGAATGTAACCCCAAAATTGATATGAGCCAAGGTACATATGCTTAAATAGTTGGGAAAACGAAATAATATTCACAGACAGTGCGTGCTGGTAATGTGGGCCGCTTTTGTGAAAAACATGGAACATTCATAACAACTGAAATGTTTCTGGGAACTGAAGGGAAAAAAGGAAAGGAAAATTTTAATCCAAAATGCTTTTGAGGCGGCAGACGAAGCTGTTTAAGAAATGCAATCATTCAATTGAATTCTCGGCTCCTCTTGGCACCTTGTGAGCGATTATCGTTTATTTCTCGTCTCGAATCTCATCTCGTTGAATTCTCATTAGACCGCTTCTCGCCTGTGCCCAGTGGATCGGAATGCGACTATTGTCAGCAGTACTTTTAGATTTCTTGACAAATCAAAACTGTTCTTTCTTCAGACAACTTGATTCAGGTACTGAGGCCAGCAGTTCTGGACAAACCACTGGGAGAAAAGCTTTATGCCTTGGCAAAACAACTGAATTTACCAGTCGAAACGGGCAAAACCTTCTGCGCTGATGACTTCTATGAAGGTTAGATCTAATCAGTATTTGATCAGGATCTGATCAGTACTACATATGCACTCATCTTAAATATGAGTGTCATGCTTTACCAAAACGGATCTCGTTGCCTTTATAACCACTAACTGTGATTGCGATTTCACCCGATCAATTCGCCTCAATCGCCACTTGAGAATGGTGGTTCATTATTTTAGGTCAAGCTAGAGTTGATGGTGCATTCTGCGAATATACCGTAGAAGATAAGTTCAATTTCTTGCGTCGACTCTATGAGAATGGTGTTCGTAATATCGAAATGGAATCGACTTGCTTTGCCGCAATGACACGTCGAGCTGGAATCAGAGGTGATCGCCGTCTTACAAACATTTATTTTATCAATGCACTTTTGAGAAGCCTGAAATCATAAGCAATAGTAGGCATCAAAACATTTTATAGATGTAATTGTGTGAGCGTTTTACAATTTGTTGAAAGTTTCCGTCAATCGAACAAACTTCGATAAATGAAACTTTCTGTGTCATTCTTCCTACACATGGAAGGAGGACAATGGCTTCCTGCTGGATTAGAATTAGTCTTAAAATAGAGCAGTTGACTTTGACAGTCTCTGAGAACGCATCAATTTTCAGCTGCGATTGTGTGCGTCACGCTGGTGAATCGAATGGAAGGCGATCAAGTTGACGTCGAAAAATCATTGTATCACGAATTCGAAGGTCGTCCTTTTAAGCTGATCACCGCATTCATCAAACAACAGATGGGAATCGAAATGAACGGCGATAAACGATAAACATAACACATCGATGAAAGATCCATTTTTGAGTCCATTCGAGTCGAAACGATTTGTTTAATGGTTTTTTCATATGTTGATGAGCAAACAAAAGTTATTACATTGATGTTACTGTTCAGTTATTGTGATGCCAATTTTTAATTATTTCATCACTACAAATGCAACAATATTAAAAAATCTAATTATTTAATTATTACAGAACTTTTGGCAGCTTACTCTCATTCAGCATATCCGGATTATCCAAAATTCATCTGATTGCGAATCAAAATCTATCATTTAGCTGGATTCAAGTGATCGGTTCATCCCATATTTGACCACAAATTTTTTTCAGTTAATCTTCCAATAATTTTCTCTTATCTGAGATCAACTTCATTTGCAAAATTCTGTGCAATTGTGCAACACTTTTTAAGGTTTCAATCAAATTGAAATCTACCATTTACTAATTTTTCATATCCAAACACATATCTTTTCAAGCCATAGAATGAATGAATCGTCATCGTGATGCAACTTTCTTCGTTCGATGTGAAGCATTTTTTCTTCATCTATTCTCGGCTTCATTAGTTGTTTAGTATTTGATTTCTGATAGCTAATATTGTCTTGTCATTGACTCACTCACTGCATAGCTGTTCATTTTTTGAGCAGCCCGAATAAAAATATTATGAGACATTTTATTCTTCGCTATTCGCTTGAAGAAAGTTCAAATATTAATGCAGCAAATAAAGATGTAAGATAAAAGATTGCTTACTGAACATTAGTTCCTTTGAAATGACTCACTGAATGAAAGAAGCAGTT